TGTCCTCTTTTTTTCCCACTCGGAGTGAATAGCAAGTGGTCACAGATAGCCACAATACCTTTAGGCCTGTCTTGAGATCAGCCAAGAAACTGTGCATTGACCTATACGGGCACTCAGTAACACATATATTCAGGGAGTTTATGCCTGTGTGCTTACACAAACTCTTGTTTGACTTCTTGCCAGTTCCAAGCCTACAGGAGTGTTGTCGTGTTTCCATCCGGGCCATGACGTCTGAAGCCCACCTTCAGGAGTTGCCCCTGCCCAACAAACTCAAGAGATACCTCCAGTACAAACTCTGACGAGGGCATAGTCATTCTGTGATGAGTGAGATAAAGAGGCCCAACGTACCATGGACATGTATGGTGTGGAGGCTGTACAATTTGGAGAATGTGTAAATCCCCTTGAACTGGGGTGCCTTTTCTTTCTCACAAGTGCTGTTCAGTCCATTTCACATGCAGGAAATATTGCCAAGTGTTGGTAACATTCAACCCAGCACCCACTAGATGTGGGCAACCTTCATATGTATAGCATAGCCAAAAAAAAGGTTGAGCTGATCTCTAGCTATGGGCCTCGAGCTGGACCAAGAGAGGGCGCTAGTTTCTCAGCAATGGCGGCTCCTTTGGTCCAAATTGAACTTTGCTGGTTCAGGAATGACTAGGAAAGGCACACATCACGGTTGCATAACTATCGACATATTGAGCACTCCCGACCAACGCGACTCTTTCAACCAATGAGGGGGTGCTTCTGCTTGAGACGGATAGCAGTCTCAACCTTATGTAGAATTTACATGAGAGTTTCCACAGCTGTGCCGTACTCTGGGATGTCACCTCTTCTGATATTTAACCCCTTTGTGAAAACAAACAAGTGTTTGCTTTGAGATGAGCCGTTGGTTGAAGGGTTCCTTATTTGAAGTCCTGTGCTTAAATTGTCTTCAGGAAAAACATGGCAACACCTGGTGGTTTTTAACAGTAAAAATGAAAAAAAAAGAAGCTAGGCTGATTTTTTTTAATGCTTATGTACTTGTTGCAAGTTAAAGTTGAGATTAGAAAAACAGTGGAGAAATGGACTAAGTTTATCCATATTGCTGTGTACTGCTAAAAATTTGAAGAAATTCAAGACGTTCTGAGCTAGAATTGTTGAACTTCGCACAGCAATGGCTTTTATTTGCTGTGTGTGCATATTTATACTCTGAAAAGAATCGCAGTGGATCATAACTCAAACTTCTACTGCATCCAGATGTAGGTTTGGTTTCTTACAGTCACTATACAAAACCAAACATTTCAGTTTGGGAATCATACTAATTTTATGCACTGTTCATTAGCAGTTACTCCTTGAAACAACATTGATGTGCGTCTGTTGATTTTTCACGCCATATTTACTTTGTTGTAAGCATGTATGTTATGGCTTTGTCTATTCTACTGCGGCAGGAGATCGAACACAGAACTAAACAACTTTCTGTCCATTTATCAAACCTTACATCCGATTCTGACTGGTCTCATGTTCATTTGAAATATTTTCTTTGAAAATGTACGACTGACCCCAGTGAGCTGAAATTGTTAGAAAGTATTGCCGTCCACACATTTCTTTACTGTACAAAAGTGTGAAAACTTGGTCTTGGTTGAATGTACACAATGTACATGGGACAACATATTTTTCTGTTCATATGTGCGATAAGATTTGGCTCTGAATTTGTAGACTGAAACTCGATAAACTTTCACATGATTTGAAGCTAAGCACCTGCTAATGCCAGCATCAGCACACTGAACACAGTGGTTAACAGTGGATACAAAGATATATACCAGACTGTTCTGGAACTGAAGGTCGATGGCTGTGTGTATGCAGTCAAAGGTGGATTTAGAATCCAATTTTTTCTGGGGGTGGGGGGGATTTTGAGGTTTTACAAAAATTAAGTAACTTTTGTGGTCATTTTAATTGGATGAGGCTAAATTTGGGGGCTTATTATGCATTAGGGGAGAAAAAGAAATGAAAAATTCTAACGATAATCCCTTTTCATAAAAAAAACAAACTTCTTGAGAGGGGAGATCTGCCATTGAGTGCACTATAGTACTCGTATTTACATCTGGGGAATTTATTTGTATCATTGTACCTGATTAATTGGTAAGCACACAGTGCACTTGTGACGATAGTCCAGCAATTTTACCATCTGACCGAACTGAAATTGAAACATGAACTTGACTTCTTTCAGTGGTTTTGTTTTTTTCATTTATTTATTTTTTAATAGGAATATGTATCCCCGTTCAGTGTACTGCACCGCTTCATTTCAAATGTCATTTCACTTTAAAACAATATACTTAACTGTGTACACGTATGTGTGCATTCAGGAAACATACATTAATACTTGTGTGTGAAAGAGCCCAACAATTTCAGAGATTGTACACTAACTGCTGTATGAGTCACACACCTATTATGAGGCATTGTGTTCAGCGGATTGTTCTTTATTTGAAATTAACAGAAACTAATCATTGTGTACACAGTGCAAATAAATCCGTGCCCATTGTTTACTGATGGGCAGTACATGGCTGTCATTCCTCTGTATTCTGAGGTGACATTTGTCCTATCGTGCAGTGTTGACATTTTCATCAGTTTCAGTATTTTTAACTTCCTACATTACTTTCCTTTTTTTCTTTCTGTGTAACTGAAAACGTAACCCAGCTTCAGAGAAAGTTGCTATTTTGAATGTGTGGCATCATGGCAAGGGCACACGATGACAATTTGAAAAAGCGTTTTACTGTGAATGTTTCTCGACATTCAGGTTAACCTCGCATTGTCATGTTCTTCACCCAGCCATTGGTAGTGTATACGGGTAGTTTTTTTTACGACCTGTTGCTTTTGCTCGTAGAGGAAAGTACATGTCTTACGCATACAAATTAGCCACAGATTTTGAGCCTACTTTACCACATTGCGGATACATTTACAAGTGCATGTAGTACTGCACTGTATTGAGCTTTTGAATGCAAGTTTTGTTTTTTGTTGGGCTGGGAGTAGATGTACGTGACTTTGTTTCATGAAACTCTGGCTGCATCTAAAAGTACTTGTAAGTACTGGTTTCTATATTTGGGATTTTTCGGTGGGATAAAATATCCCAAATTTACAATAGTGCTATTAACCACTCCCTGCCGCGGATTCCGGATCCAGACACGTATGCTTTATATGAGTGGCCGGGGCCTCCGAACTCGGACAAAGGGAACAGGGCCTTGTAACAAAAGACCATAAATGGAACAAAAGACCAGGCTGCAAGGAATAACCAACATTTTTTTACTCTCAAAAGTGGAGATAATCCCGCCTTGTTTTGAAACAGTATACCATGGTTTGGGGCATTTAGAGCGAGCAGAGTACAACCGGGGACAAAAGTGCTCCACCACCACAGCGATGAGCCACACAGCACCGCTGCATGTTAATCTGGGCCCTGTTGAAAAGAGGTCAGCAGCACACTGAGCTAGGTTCGTGAACAAAAGAAAGTTATATAGCACCGCACAACCTGGGCTCTTTTTACAAGGCTGCAAGCCCGGCTGAAATACTCAGGCATCAATAGATTTTGTCTGTCAGGCTAGAGTGGCACCAGACAGTCCTTCACATGTTTGTAAGTGTCCAGTAAATGAAGATACGAATTTTAAAGAATTTTGAAAACAGAAAAAAATGATTAATATCCTGGCCCAGCATCATCAACATTGATAACTGCCCCGGCAGGAAGTGCTAACAAAAGGCTAATGTGATGCATGGAAATCAACAGTGTTGTAGTCGAGTACTTTTTTCCGAGTACCAAGTACTGCCAAGTACTTTGACTGCCGAGTACAAAGACAGGTCGAGTACTTTGCCAGCCGAGTACAAGTACTGGTTTCCGAGTACAAGTACTGGTTTCCGAGTACAAGTACTTGCAATTCCGAGTACGAGTACAAGTACTTCTAATTCAAAAGTAGTTTTATCTTAATTTAGAGACTCTAAGACCTGTCATTGTGTAAAAGAAACACCGAATGCAGATGACATAGCTACAAGAACAAGTGATCTGGCAAGCAATGTCACGGTCACTACACGTGTGTTGCAGCAGTTGACACAACATGCATGGCGCGGCGAAGTCTATTTTCCAGACTTAATCATTCACATGCCTGTGATTTTCTGTATGTTAGGTTCATCGTTAGAATTTTCGGGTCGACGAACCAGACTAGCAATGCCCAAGTAAATCGGGAACAATTCTGGAGTACCACAATATAATTTGCGTACGTGATTGGTTAAGTACGCGCAGACAGCTAATGGGTCGTACACGTTAATGGTCCCACGTTCGGCCTTCTCTTTGTCAGAACCCTATCGAATATCGCATCACTGGGGTCGATATTTTTGTACCTGCACACTCACATCCACACATAATACCATTTAGAGTCCAGGATTTCCTGCTAAGGACAAGTGGTTTTATTGCGGTCATTTCAAGGAACCAACAGCACCTATCACAACTGTGGTAAAAGTGAAAGGTATAACTTCTTACTACATGTATTAATCATCTGTACAGATGCTGAGCCTCCCTGTCACTGAGTGATGCACGAATCTGTGGTGGCTGCAACCTCTTCCCATAGAGTTGTGTGTTGTGTCAAGCCACAGCAAAGTCTTCTGTACAAACATGTAGGACCTAATCTCACACGGAAAAGACTGCTCTGCAATCTGATCTGCTAAGCAGAAGTCAGCAGGCAACCTGTTGCGAGAAATATATACATTAGTTTCTGCTCAGCAAATTTTTGGACTCAGAAGACTTGTGCTTAGCACCTGTAGCTGTGATATTGGCCCCATCATGTGGTTCTGCTTGCATACCAGAATTTTGCACTCAGAGCACTGGCAGAGAAACTCTGTGCTAACCCCTTTGCCGTTAATAAATTTCTCTTAAAATATAAAAATCAATACAAACTTACTCCACTTGACCCTAATGTTTGTTGCCAACGTGGCAGTTTTGAAACTTCAAATTTTATTTTCTTGGGCCACCACACCCAATCAATCTAGAAATTATTCAATGTTATATGAGTGGTTCAGCACGCTCAGTGTTCCTTGCTGACCTGTGATATAACATTTACCCTTTAAATGCGGAATCTCCTGCTGTACATGTGGTAAGCAGATATATTAACTGCTTTAACAGTATAATAGCAAAGTCGAACTGCAGATTTGAGCCCAGATAGGCTGCCTGACATAGCTCACTTTCACAGGGCTGCAGAGCGAAGAAAAGTATTAAGCACACAAACTATATGCTCAATCAAAGCAGTTTACCAACCAAGATGTCATGTATTGTGTATTTCTTGTGACTGCTTCCCAGCTGAGTTCTGCTTACGATATGAATTTGCTAAGCAGACTTTTCTGCAGAGAACTGACCAGCTCTTAAAGTTTGGCTCCACTCTCATAATAAACTTTAGAAACTGTGCCATCCTACAAACACATGTACGCTGAAGTGCGTTTATTTTGGTAAAATGTCTCTCTTAGGTTTACGTGTTATACAGTTAAATTTAAATATAATTACAATGCACATTATACAAAAATACAAGGAAAACATCAAGTTTTATACTCTATAAAGGGAACAAGCAAAAGAAAGAGGAAATGTCAACCCATTCAGGGAAATCTGCCCATTAGGCGAAAAATTACACCCCCCATTACAAAACATGACAAAAAGGCCAGATTTCTTTGACACTGTACACATCTCTTCACAGGAAGGAACACACACATAAATTCCAAAAGATGAACCAAACCTACAGGACTGATGGAAGCCTTTGAAAATTGACAGCTGGCTGACTGGCAGAACACTGAAGACAGTGGCATATCTCAGGGACAACCAGGGGAAATGCAGATGGTATGTGGTCCCCCCAACGTGTCCAATGCTATATCTTATGCCCCTGCTCAGACACTGAAGAAAAAGAGTCCTGTATTGTCTCAAAGACTAAGGCAAAATACACTGACTGCCCCCTTACAGGGAAATGGGAAGTGCAAATGGTATGCCACGCCCACAACGTGGAAAGTCAGGCCACTGTTGTCAGACATCTTTGTCATCAAAAGATTTTGTTTCTTATTGCATAACTGAAAAGGTAAAGAATCGACTGAAAAAAAAAATCAGGAAAAAATAACCAACAACAAAAACAACTAACCAACAAACCCTGTGAAATAACCACTACAATGGCAGTGCCAAAGTTGTTCCTATGGACATCATAGAAGTTGGGGAAAGAAAAAGACAGCAAGGATTTCAGGAAATTTGCTGTGTCGGACTGTATTTGGTACATGTAGTCCTTTGACATGGTCTGCCTGGAACACAAAACACATTCAATATTTCTCTGCAGTAAAGCACACACATCAACCCCACAGACCTCATTTAAACTTGAGAAACATGCTCTGTGACTTATCACAGGTTCATCAATACTATTTGTATCCAAAGCAAATATTACACAAAACCAGAAGTTCAATCTTTTAGCTTTTTGCTATCATACACATTAAAAGTCATGTCAGTCATGTCAGCGACTGAAACTTGAGCAGCACTCCTCAAACCATGTTTTGAACACACTTTTTAAAAATGCCATGATGCAGTTTTTATCAAACATAATAAGTTTGGGGCTACTTTTTTAAAAATTAATGTTAGATAAAACTTGCAGTTTTGTATGGTGGAGATAGACTAAAGCAACCGCTTTCGGTAACACTATGTGGATAGATCTCTTTTTGGAAGAAGTAAGGCTCCGATAAGAACAGGTGAGTATGTATTTGACGTTTTGGCCAGTATGGTTGTTCTCGGGCAGAGCATCCTGGTTGAAATGTTTGAGTACACACTCACTGGTTCCTATCAGAACCATACTTCTTCTCAAAACCGTAAGCCGTCTCTTTAAAATAAACGTTTGAAAGCAATGGAAAAAATAAATTTCTGGAGGTGACAGATAGTTAGGCCTCCTATGCAAAGACACATGCTAGACAGAATTGTCATAACAGTCAAAATCAGCCAAACGGCCCGTATGTGTTGATGTAATGTAGCAAATGAAGTAGAAGGGCTTTTTGACCGTCTGTGACTGCTACAAAAAAAGGCTATAGAAATGTAACATTTTGTCTGTCACTGAATGAAATTATTCTTTCCACTGCACAAATTAAGAACATTCATTTGTTTTACACAATGCCTGAATAAATATTCGTTACTTGATAAGTTCCTTTTATACTTGCTGTCTTTCTCCCCACTCAGTCGCAACATTGTGACAAAGTTGTCCATACAGTTCCAAATCAGTAAGTGCTTTAACAGACACTATTTGCCCTGCAAATTCCTCTTGATGTGCATGAGCAAGTTTTATCTGTGTGTCTGTCATGGCAGTGTTTACAGTGCCATGGACAGAACAACTGTGTGTACTACTGTCCTATCAAATGGTTCTACCACCCTGTATGGCTACATATCGCGTGCAATCATTCATGTCACATGATCGACAACTCACCAATCATATGATAGCAATTTATTCAGGTGGTGTAGAGTACAATTTCGAATATATCACATGACAAACAAGGCAACCTATCTGATGTACAGTCATTTGCAAAA